GTGTGGAGGCACATCCCAGTATTCCAGAGGCAGAGGCAGGTAGATAAGATCTCAGTGAGTTCCAAGCTAGGCCTATACAGTGACACCCTGTCTTAAAAAAAAAAAAAAGTTATTAACAAAAAAGCAACAGACCATATCCACATGACACATGTTCATTACGTCATAGGATGTGCCAGGTAGTAGTAGCACACCCCTTTAATCCCAGCACTAAAGCAGAGGCAGGTGTGTCTCTGAGTTCAAGGCCACTATGGAGCAAGTTCCAGGACAAAAAGCTAAAGAGAAAAATCATCTCAAAAAGACAAAGTCATAGTCTCTAAACAAAGACAAAGTCTCTAAATGAATGTAGCAGTTGAACTACTATGCCTCTGGCTGCCCCAACAGATAAAACTGTGGGTACTGGTACTGTGACACAGCAGAAAAATCCACTTTCCTAGTCATGTTAATTTACATTGGTTAAATTTCAAAAGTCTTACTTTTTAATTAAAATATAATCTAATGTAATTATAGTCACCAAATACAAAGTCATCTTAACACAAAATTAGCCATCAAGAAGTTGAAGTAAATAAAACACATTTAACAATTTGTCTATTAACATTAAAAACTACATTTTCAGAGTTAGGGGTGTGGCTCAGTACAATGTTTGCCCAACAAATTTGAAATTCTAGTTCAAATCCCCAGCACCACAAAAAAAAAAAAAGTCTCCAGTTTGAAGACTAAACAGCAGACCTGTACCAGGAGGCTCCACCTGCTCTAAACTACACAAATAATTTAAAATGCTAGTAAGTACCAAATTAAACACACTGTGACCAGCTGCCATTTCTGATGTCTTTGAAACCAGAAAAGCAAAATTTTATTGATTCTCATCCCCCACACACACAGGTCTAGCCTGGCCTCAAACTTACTTTGGAGCTGAGACTGGCCTTTAACTAATTCCTGATCCTCTGATCTCGATCTTCCAAGTCCTAGGATTACATATTTGTGTCACCACAGCTGGCCAGTATTATACCTGTCTTAAAATATATACATTGGCCAAGTATGGTGGCACCCACCATTAATTCCAGCACTTCAGAACGATGGATCTCCATGAGTTTGAGTCCAGACTGGCCTACACAGTTCCAGACCAGCCAAGGCTACATAGACTATCTCAAAAAAACCAAAAGAAATAATATACACATTGGACATCAGAACTGGAAACTAAAGACCCTGTGATTTTTAAATCTTTAGACTTAATAGTTGATTGGTCTGCTTGAAAATTTTAAACCATTCCAGTTCTCAGCAGACTACTAAGCCTTAATGTAACAACATTTTTATTAGACTATGCTTGAAGATTTCATTTCTCACAGATTTTCTTGATTCTCTTTCCCATAGTTGTGGCTGCCTTCTCTGGTCCCTTCCTGTTTCTCCAGCTTACAGCCCACCCTCCATATGTGTGTGTGTGCATAAGTGTTTTGCTACATGTATGTCCAATCTTGGAGTTACAGACAGTTGTAAGCTGCCATGTGAGTGCTAGGACTTGAACCCAGGGCCTCTGGAAGATCAGTCAGTGCTCTTAACCACTGAGACATCTCTCCAGCCCCCTACACTCCCTTTTTCTGAGTTGCATAGGTTACCTCCCAACTTACAACTTGCTGATACATTATGCATAGAATATTCCCTGCTGTCTACCCTTTTATCCCAATATGTGTATAATTCATTAGCATTGCCTCAAAAATATACATTTATGGAAAAAACTTGATTCCTTCCTAGATTGGTCTTGGTTTGACACTTGTAACAATCCATAGGTGTTTCTTTTTCCTATGACTCAATATTTATATTCGTTCAATGTGCTTCCCTTCACTAGACTAAAAGCTTCAAGATACTAGAAATTTGTTTTATCTTTTGAGACAGGATCTATTATCTTTTGATGGCAGATCTCTATGATCTGTTCCATATTTGGCAGTTTACAACCATTTGTAACTCCAGGCTAGCTTTGAAATCTAGTTCCTGCCACGGCCCGAGTGCTATGATTACAGGATGCATACCTTAGTTGTGCTTTATTACTGTATGCCTAACACAGGGTAGGCTACGACAAATCAGTCTTAACACTTGAATAGCACTTGAGAAACTGAGGATGGATGATCATAAATGCCACACAGTTTGAGCTACAGGGAGAGTTCAAAGCGAGTGTGGACTACATAGTTAAGATCTTGTATAAAAACTTTGTCTTTGAGGGGAAAAAAGTAAAATGTATCAAGTACCTGAAAAAACTTTCTAATTCAATCATTATTTATTGCATTTCTGGCTCCAAATGTATCTGGTTTTAAACACTTGCTTATTAGTCTTAGACATTACTGAAAGATGAAAATTGAGTAGAAAAAAGGTATTGAAAGAGCAGGAGGAATGGCTTGAATGGTGAAGAGCACTTGTTAATCCTGCAGAGGACCCAGGTTCTATTCCCAGTACCCATATAGTCATTTACAACCATCCATGACTCATTTCCAGGAGATCAAATGTTCTTCTAATCCATTCAGGCACTAAGCATTCTTGTGATATGCATACAGGCAAAACATACATGCATACAGGCAAAACACACATAAGTAAGAAAGAAAGAAATCTAATAAAAAGAAAACTTAAAAGATATATTGAAAATCTACGTTTTCTAGTCATGTGGTACATACTTTTGATTCGAACTCTCAGGAAGCAAAGAATGGCGGATCTCTATGAGTTTGAGGCCAGCCTGGTCTACAGATTGAGTTCCAGATCAGCATACATAGTGAGATTCCCAATTAAATGAAATAGAGGAACTGGAAAAAATGGCTTAGTGATTCAGAGCACTTGCTTCTCTTCCAGAGGCCCCAGGTTCAATTCCTAGCACCCATATATGGCAGCTCACAAACAACCATTTGTAACTCCAGTCCCAGGTAACCCTCTCTTCTGGCCTCTGTGAGCTATGCACACCTGTGATGTACATACATGTAGGCAAAAAACACATACAAAATTTTTAAATGACAATTCATAAATATCTTAATGTAAATATTGTGTAACACAAAAATAATTTTACAATTATATATTCATACAAACAATCACAAATACAATGGAATGATATATAGAAAGTAAAAAATCCCACCCTCCATTTTCCAGTGTCAAAACTACCAAGAGGTTTGGTGTGGGATTTCTCATGCCTGAAATCCCAATGCTGAGGCCGAGGTCCAAGTATCACAGTGAGCTCCAGACAAAATGGGATCCTGTGAACAAGTTCTTCAAAATGCTGAAATCTTGTTAGTTCCAATAAGTCACAAGACTTTTTTTCACTTTTTTTTTTCCTTGAGGGTCTCTCGACATAGCCCTGGTTGTCCTGAAACTCAACATGCATATCAGGCTGGCCTGGAACTCACAGAGATCCAGAGACCTGCCTGCCTCTGCCTCCCATGCTCTGTGATTAAAGCCTTTCACCACTTCTGTTAGTTTGTTTTACATAATGTCCGAATGCTTTACACATCCAGGTACAGTAGCAAGAATCTTCCAAAAAAAAAAAGAGTAAAGTTTAATTTCTGTCATAGAGGATTGAAACTTCATAATAAAATATGATTAAGACTGGATTGCTGAAAAAGAAACCATATCCCCGGCACCTGAGACAGGTGGAGCGCATGGTGCCCGGTTCTCGGCCATGTCCGTGGATGCCTCCGCCTCGGAGCCAGAATGCTAGCTAGAGTCCGGGCCGGGGCTGGGGCCGGATCCCCGGCTGGAATCTGAGCCGGACCAGTTGTGCTCCGAGCACAGAGAGCCTCTGAGCAGGTTCTGCCTCTTAAAGAGATGGCTGGTATGCGATATGCGCCCTGCGCCAGGTTGGGCTGCTGTGATGGGCACCATATCCACCAAGGAGCTGCGAAACAAGATTGTGGACCAATGTGAGAGGCTGCAGTTACAGAGCGTGGGCATCACCAAGAATGTGGCCGAGGTCCTGCAAGGGAAGAACCAGACGCAGTAAGCATGGCTAGTGCAGCGAGGACGCTGATTATCCAGAGGTTGAGTCTGGTGAGGAACCGGTGTGAGCCTGAGGAACAGTGATTGCTGGAGCTCAGGAAAGAGGAGCGGGCTCACCAAGTATCCTGACTCAGCCGGCACTGAAAAAGCTGGACACCCTCCGTACTGCCTGGTGGGCATGCTCACCTATCTGGATGACCTCCAGTGTATTCAGAAGGAACACGAGATTGTTGAGAGAGCTGAGGAAGCAGAGGGCATTTTGGATTCCCAGGAGTCGGACAAATTAAGCTTTAATGAGAAGAGTGCTTGAAGCCCACTACTGACTCAACTCTGGGCAACATCGGGTCTCGGGTCTCTGTCAGGCATGGAGGAGATGTATGTCATGAAAGGACTGTCAGCCCCTTGTTGCATTTGTCTGAAGATCGAAGGACCCTGACCTTTAGAGTCAAGAAGTCCAAGGCCTGCTCAGATGACCCAGAGCTCTTTGACCTTTGGCCTAATGCCTTGGCTGCCACCACCTTCCAGGCCTGGATAGTGAATGTTCAGCACAGTTGTGCTTTAAAGTGGGTGCAGCCTCAGCCCAGCTGCCACGAGAGAGTTCTAGTAGTGACTGCCGCCTGGACCACAATGCCTTCTGGGTCTTCTCCCGCTATGGCAAGAGTTCCATTTCTCACACAATGGGCAGCATGAGCCTCTGGCGTTGTTTCGGTGCCCAGCACAACTGGGCGTGCTGCCGGACCTCCAAGCAGGAGAGCTGGTCTTCTGTGAGCCTGCCTCAGGGACGGTGGATGCACATCCACCGCATGTCTTTTCCTCGCCCGCTGCTCCCAGTCTTTGCTGTGGCTGACCAGGTCATCTCCATCATTCACCAGTGGCCACAGTGAGGCCAGATTCACGACCCCCCCATCCCTTTTGCAGGCCAGGCCATACTTCCAGCTAGTGTTCTTTCCCCCAGTGATGTGTGTGGTCATTCACATTGGCAATTTTTAAAGAGATGGGATCTGCTTAAAAAAGGAAAAAAAAAAAAAAAGACTGGATTGCTGAGAGCACATTTCCTTCACATTTATTCTCCTCCACTAAAATAATGCTGTTGAAATATATATAGCCTACAAATTCATCACCAAAACTTTGTGGTTTTACCTTGTAAATCAAGAAGATAGATAACTAAGCAGTTGGCAAACATATAAATACTGAGCACAACTAAGGTCCAGGAGGCACCACTGTGCAATGTGTCCACTGTCAGGTTAATGAGACCAGTTGTTACATTTGACAGTAAGAAAAAAAGCAGCTGGTTTCTGTTCAGAGCTGTGATTAAACAAAGACTGGGCTCTTTTTTCCCAGCTTCTGGGATTAGAGATTTGGAATGTTTTTTATTTGTAGCAGGCAACTGTATAAGTTTCCAAGAACATGGTACTAGAGCCCCTTTAATTAGAAATTTGGCAAAACTCAAAATTATATCACCCAGTAACAGACAGCTAAGAAGCATCAGGCTAGAAGCAACCACCCACACACAAAAGGCTAAATTGGCCATTCTCCGAGATACGGCTTCTACATTCACTTGAATTATATAAAGAGAAATGAAAAAGCTAACAGCCACTAAAAGAATACAACAAGTCACTTTGATCCATTCTCTGATGTGTGTTCTGTTCTTAAGCACATACAACCCTGTTTGCACGCCAGCCATGTGTATTGTCACATACCCCAAAGTGGAAATTATTCCTTCTCGGTTGGCATTTAGTAAACCAACTCTCGTGCCACTACCATCAGTGCCATACAAAATTATCCTCTTGAGTGGAGTAAAGTCAAGAGCTAGCTGGTATAACACAGTAATGCTGACAGCCACAATCCAGGACTTATTTAAAGGAAAAATAATCAAAAGAAGTGATGTTACTAATTTCACAACTATGATGGTAAAGAAAAAATTCCAGTGAACACCATACTCAGTTAAATGTTCCTGATAGCCTATGGATTTTATAATGACTAACCGTCCCATTCCTAAGACAACTAAGGGCCAGACAGAATACAGTGATTTTCTAAGATAATTAAATCTGGACCCTTCTACATGTTTCCCTCTAACCTCTGGACAAACCATTGCAGCCCCAAAAATAAAGCCACCTACTCCGTAATCCATTGCCCCTGTCCCATAAAGCTCAGTTTTGGCAAATCTTCTAGGGAACAGTGGGAAATCCACAGCCAAAATGGCAATAGCAGTAAACACGCTGTTAATGACCCGGTAAGAAGTGACAGCTGGACTGTACTCTGATTCTAGGCTGATTTGCAAGAAGTTTGCTAAAACTTTCTGAACAGGCACTTTGGCATAGCAAGTTCTCCTCTGGTAGATCTGATATAACAGCCACGCCCCACAGGCAACTGCAGTGAGATTTTCGAGTAGGATAAAGGGAGACAACACAGTCAAAGTGATCACCAAGGGGACTACAAGGACAACGAAGTCCATGAGGAACCGTGTGCGCCAGCTGTGTGAGAAAGAGCACATGTGCTGTGAGAAAATGACCAAGAGGCCTCTGCACAGGATACAGAACGCAGGGAAGCACAAGCCCTGGGTCACTTCCAGCACGCTGGTTCCATTGAGGTTACTGACAAAAGCTTCCTTCATCTGCTTTTGAGACATTTTTCTTCCTGTGAAAATGATACAAAAGAATGGATCTGAGGAAAACAATACTGCTGTAAAATCAGTAAATATTTACATATAAATCACTTGAATTTATATATTTTTTGGTTTCAGAACAGAAGTTTAGGGGCTGGAGAGATGGCTCAACAGTTAATTGTCTGCTCTTCCAGAGGTTCCGGGTTCAATTCCAAGCACCCACATGACAGCTCACAACTGTCTGTAACTCCATTTCCAGGAGATCTGACATCCTCACACCGACATACATGTGGGCAGAACAGAAATTTACGCCCACCAGGTGGTGATGGCCCACCTTTAGTCCTAGCACTCAGGAGGCAGAGGCAGATGGAGCTCTGTGAGTTTGGGGCCAGCCTGGTCTACAAGAGCTAGTTCCAGGATAGGCTCCAAAGCTACAGAGAAACCCGGTCTCGAAAAATAAAACAAAAAAAGAAAAAAAATATGAAATTTCTTGTACAAAGTTGTATCTTCACTATAAGGCAAACTCAAAACCAAAGTCCATTTGGAAGCTGGATGTGGTGAAGCATCATTTAAAGACACAAGATGGTCCTTTCTTACATCCTGAGTTCCCAGCCAACTTGGCTACCTGAAACCTTGTCTTTTCTAAGACATCTCTACTCTGTAGCCTAGAACTCAAGGTGTAGAGAAGGCTGACCTTGAACTCAAGAAGTACACCTGCCTCTGCCCCACCCCCTCACAAATGCTTAAAGGTGTGTGCTACCACGCCCAGCCAGACCTGTTCCTTACTAAAGTAAATCTGGCCGGGCAGCAGTGGTGCACACCTTTAATCCCAGCACTCAGGAGGCAGAGGCAGGAGGATCTCTGTGAGTTCGAGGCCTGCCTGGTCTACAAGAGCTAGTTCCAGGACAGACTCCAAAGCTACAGAGAAACGCTGTCTCAAAAAAAGAAAGAAAGAAAGTAAGTAAATCTGGGATATGAATCCTAAATGGCATCAGTCAGAAATTTATTTTTTTAAAAAGATTATGTTTATAGTGTTCTGCCTGCATGTATCCCTGCAGGCCAGAAGAGGGCATCAGATCTCATTGTAGATAATTGTGAGTGACTATATGGTTGCAAGGAATTGAACTCAGGACCTCTGGAAGACCAGCCAGTGCTTATTCTGAATCTCGGAGCCGTCTCTCCAGTCCCTAGTCAATTGCGAAGCATAATATTCTCTTTCTCTCTCTCTCTATATATATATATATGTATACATACATACACACACATACATTTATGTTTACATATAAAATAATATTTTGGCTATATGTACATATACTGATATGTTATGAATACCTTCAAGAAAGCTGCATATGCATTGCTAAGGGCTTTAAAATAAACTTCAAGAAGGAAGAGAGAGAAACTGTTCAGTGTATTTTAGAGTCAGAGTCCTTGGTTTCTGTTCAGAACCTCAAAACCTACTGTCCTGGGCACCTAGAGGTGAACGCATGAGAGCCAGGTTGTTCTTTTCCTCGTATACACACGGCCATATCTTCAGATTAAGGTGCAAGTGGACAGAATGGATGGGATGCATTGTACACGCCAGAGCTCGTGGTTTCTTTTTCCGCAGCCTAAACTCTCCTCTGTCACATACTACCGTCTGAAAAGTTGCACGCTGAGGGCACACACCCGTCGGTCACATATGTGCACTCCCCTGAGGTGGACCACTCGGGTCTAACTGGGCCCGGCATCGGCATCTCACCGTAAGTGGCCCAGCTCTTTTGGCCTTTTCCTGACAGACCTCGTCACAGCCACGCCCCGTCCGGGACCGAGGGTCTTCCGCGTTGACAGAACAGGCTCCCACCGCACCAGCCCGCTCCCTCCGCTTCCGCCTCGCGGGCAACGCTTCCGGCAGGGCGCAGCCTGTTCTTCCGGGCCCGCAGATTCCGCGCGCCCCCGCCCGGGATGGCGACGGTCCCCGCCCCGCCGGCTCCCCCACGCCCTTCGGTGTGTTGGGCTGGGTTCGTCCCGATCCTCTCGAAACCCAGCTGTGTGGCGGTCCGAGGGTTCGAGAAGGCCGCGTCAGACTCGGCCACGGCGACCTGCACTAGACCGGCTCTCGGGACCCCGGAAGCCACGCTCTCCCACACCGAACTCCGGAGGTCACAGAAACGTCACACCTTACCCCAGGGTCTGAAAAGACCTCACTTCACCCATAGCCCGCCGGCCAGAGCCTGCGGCCCGGGACGGACACGTGCGCCCGGCACCGCGTGTGCACGCCCCGCCCCC